GGATTTCATTCCTACCAGTCCCCCACAATCAGGAGTCTAATCTTTAAAATAAATCATGTGTATACACACACACTGGTTCCATTTCTCTGGAGAACCCTAATGCACACCTTTTAAATCATTCCCTACTTACAAAAGTTTATGCTTTTTTCCTAAGAAATGAGATCATGGTATACATAAGCGTCTGCATCTCAACTTTTTCCTACTTAGTAAGACGTCCGGGACATCTTTCCAGGTCAGCAGTCTGAGACCTAATTCATTCTTCTCATGTGCCACACAGTAAGCCATTACACGGATGGATCAGTTGATTTAAGGAGGGGACATATATACACAGAGGTTGTTTCCAGTTTTTTGCTCTTGGTGCTTTTGGTTCCATTATTTGCATCCAGCTATCAAGAAACAGATTCATATACTGCTCTTGCCTTTTACTCCCATGCTTTGCTTTCAAATGATCTACTTACAATCTCCTGAAAACTTATCCCATCAAGTGGCAGATTTTCCCAGCTGCCACGTTAACAAAAAATAGCCTGGATTTAAAGCAAATGTGTCAAACAGGTGCAGTGGTCAAAGTGAAAGTTCCATTGTTCAGGCCTTTGAAACGCACCAGCAGCCAGCTGTTCTCACTGACCTTCATACAAAGTCACCATGCATGGCTATGTCATTTAATCTCTTAGGTAGGAGAACCGAAACAAAGTCTCCCTCTGTTTTCCAATTCTATTTTATAATAAAACGACTGTGCTTAATTCAAACGTTAAGAAAACAGGCACCTGGAAAATACTTTTAAGTAAAAAAATTAATGAACCATGTTTGTATTTCAGGCACTGGCTATTTTATGGCAACCAGAGGTATCTCTGCTGGTCCACAGTTAACCAAGTACCCCAGCTCCTGCCTCGAGCCAACGTCAAATGCTGAGGGAACTGAAAGTTCAGGGCGCTGATGTCATCACAGTGGTGTTCCCAGTCTCCAGAGTGCCTCGCCAACTCAGCCCATGAAGCAAAGCACTGGCCTCTACTGGGCTGCGGATTATTTCAGATAACGGGAAGTCACAGAGGTATCCAGGCAACAAGAGGATGCCAACAACTTCTCTAGGCAGAGATGTCAGTAGCCACTTTCACAAGTGCTATTTCTACACAGCCTTCTGAACTCTTTGGAGTGCCTTAGTTTAAATGTTTCTATTTATCTGAAATAAGCACAAATCATTTTTGAAATTATATATTACTCCAGTTTATTATATAATGAAACAAGGCTTATGCCACATGTTCCAACAATGTTTAAATAAAGAGCTTGAAATATAAAGGCTTATGAAAACTTTATAGTCTTTATATGATATATACTATTTCTAGCCCAAGAATAAATTTGGAGAACAGGAGGCATTTTTTATATCACGCATTGGCAATATTTAGCATCAATGATTATACAAATTCACAAGCAAACAAAAAATCCATTTTTTTTTCATTTTGGTTATGAAAGCTAAAAATCCTTTTGCCAAATGTAAGCAATACCCAAGGGGCAGGGAGACTAGCAGCCAAATCTCTGAAAACGAGGGGAGCACGTGTCCCAGGTCCTTCAGCTCTTTCTTGGTTAGAAGCTTCAACAATTGTATTAACTTTTTCAGAAAGCAGAAAAAACAAAACAGGTTAAGATCTTGTTCTATAAAGTGTTTAATGAATCTACATTGAAGAAATACTGTATTTTTCTCTTCAAAATGTACTTAAGGTTTACAGTAGTTTGAATTTCTTTACATTCTGGTATGAACATGTACATAATTTTAATAAACCAATATAATGAATATTGCATGATTCTTAGAAATGATTTGTACACTTAAAAATGTTTCTACATTTAAAAAAAAGTGGTTTATAAGAAGTAATTCCTTAAACTCAAGGAACTAAAAAATGAAAGCCTTTCAGTAGAAAGCCCTCACCACATCATGGAATGTTTTGTTGTCCTTTTTATAAAGATAAGGTTCAGTACCAGGAACGAGGCCTAAAGGAATTGAGCTCTCCAGAGTCACCTCTAGAGGGTGCCAGGGAGACCTGGACTTTCATCTTAGCCATTCACACCTACTTGCTACCCCATCACCCTTCTTTCTTCCCTTCTCTTTTTAATGACTGTCTTAGCTTTTAATTTTGGAAATAAAATTCTGCTTCACAAAACCTTTTTTAAAGTCAACAATAAAGAAGAAAAGGTGAAAGTGACTGGGAGAAAAACTGCCCAATACACAAGAAAAACCTGTGTTCCTTCTACTATGCTTCAAGGGAGGAAGCAGTCCAGGAGCTAGACACACTAGGGGGTCCTAGCTTGTATTTAATGTATTTAAATAGCAAACTAGCATGTATTTAACGTTCTCAAAGGTACCCAAGGAACCCAACTACACAGATATATTCCCTTTCCTCAGGCTGTCTTCTTGAAGTGTAAATTCTTGGGGCTATCAGAGTCACTTTTTACTTGAAAAGAGTAAGATAAAGACAAGAAAGAAGAGGAGGAATGGTTTATCTTATCTTTAGAAAAGCAGAAGGAAGATATATACCTCTTATCAGAAAACAGATAAACAGGTGCAGTACTAAAGAAATAATTTCTGCCCTGGCCCATTTGGCTCAGCCCTTAAAGCATCAGCCTGTGGACTAGAGAGTCCCGGGTTCGGTTCCTGCTAAGAGCACATACATCGTTTGCAGTTTGTCCCCGGCCCCGGTTGGGGTCGTGCAGGTGGCAACCAATCGGTGTGTCTCTCTCACATAGATGTTTCTCTCCCTCTCTTCCCCCCTCTCTCCCTAAAAAAAAAATTTCTTCCCCAGCAGTGTGGCTGTGGTTGAGCGTCGAACCATGCACCAAGAGGTTGCTGGTTCAATTCCCAGTCAGGGCACATGCCCAGGTTGTGGGCTTGATCCTCAGTGGGAGGTATGCAGGAGACAGCCAATCGATGTTCTCTCTTATGGATGTTTCTATCTCTCTCTCTCTCTCCCTTCCTCACTCTCTAAAATTAATAAAGAAAAAATATTTTTTAAAAAAGAAATAATTTCTTGCCCTGGTCGGTTTGGCTCAGCAGTTAGAGCGTCGGCCTGTGGTCCAGAGAGACCCGGGTTCGGTTCCCACTACAGGCATGTGCCTCGGTTGCAGTTTGTCCCTGGCCCTGGTTAGGTCGTACGGGTGGCAACCACTCAATGTGTCCCTTTCATGTTGATGTTTCTCTCTCTCTCTCTTCCTCTCTCTCCCTCCCACTCTATCTGAACAAAAAACAAAATGGCCTCGGCTGAGGATTAAAAAAAAAAGAAAGAGCCCTGGCTGGTTTGGCTCAGCGGTTAGAGCGTCGGCCTGCGGTCCAGAGAGACCCAGGTTCGGTTCCCGCTAAGGGCATGTGCTTCAGTTGCAGTTTGTCCCCGGCTCTGGTTGGTTGTGCGGGTGGCAGCCACTTGATGTGTCCCTTTCACATCGATGTTTCTCTCTCTCTCTCTCTCTCTCTCTCTTCCTCTCTCTCCCTCCCTCCCACTCTATCTGTACAAAAAATGGAAAAATGTCCTCGGGTGAGGATAAAAAAAAAGAAAGAAAGAAATAATTTCTTGCCCTGGCCAGTTCGGCTCAGCCCAAGGACACAAGGGTCTCAAGTTTGATTCCCAATCAAGGGCACATACCTGGGTTACAGGTTCATTTGCAGTTGGGGTTGTACTGATGGCAACCAATCAATGTCTCTCTCACACTGATGTTTCTCTCTCTCCCTCCCTTCCACTTTATTTAAAAATCAATGGGGGGCCCAGCCAGTGTGGCTCAACGGTTGAGCGTCAACCCATGCACCAAGAGGTCTCCGGTTCAATTCCTGGTCAGGGCACATGCCCAGGTTGTGGGCCCGATCCCCAGTGGGGGGCATGCAGGAGGCAGCCAATCGATGTTCTCTCTCATCAATGTTTCTATTTCTCTCTCCTGCTCCATTCCTCTCTCTCTAAAATCAATTTTAAAAAAATCAATGGGGGGAAAAAATAGTTCTAAAATTTCAAGCAAGTTATTTTATACCCAAGCTAATTAGGAAGTCCAAGATAGGAAATATTTTAACAAACATGACCGAAACTAAAGTAAAAACTGGGAAATCTGGAAAAATCAAGTCTTCTATTCACTTGCAACATTTTGCTCAGGAAAACGTAATAAAACTTCAACAGGCCTTTAGCAACATGCTTCCCTCAGGTTAGTAGTGGCCCACGATTAAATGACTCTCTACAGACTGCTTGTTCTCGGATTACAGCTGTATGACAGCATAATGTACACACCTTACCAAACAAGTCAAGTAGTAGCAATTATATTTTCTCCATTTGACCCTCAACTTCCAGAGATGTTATTATCCCCATTTCCAGATTGGGAAATAAGCTTTGCTAAAAATCACAGAACAAATTACTAACATGACCTAATGCAGAACCCAAACTGCTTGAAACACCTCCCATCAGCACAGAACTTGCCCCTTTCAGAGCCAACACATCACACCAGCATGAGTTTGGATATTAATACTTTGTAACAATTCCTCACAAAGGTCAAGTCTCCAAAGGCTTAAAATCACTTATTATAAGTGAAAGATCCTGCCAACATAGGAAATTATGAAGCAGTGCAATATTCCAGGACTCTATTTCCTGCACTGTTGATACCTAGGGTTGAAAAGTCCAGGTCTCCACGTGTGCAATTTCTTCAGCTGACAAGCAGCAGAAGCCCCCAAGTTCAGGAACAATAATACCCTCTTGGAGGCTCTATTCCATGGCTCCGGTGAGCTTCTCTAGAGCAGTCTGGTACTCTCGGCTATGAGCTGAGATGCAGCAGGTGCTACTCCCCCCTGAAGAAAACAGTCCACAGTCCCTGACCTTCTTGCAAGTTTTCTTGAACAAAAAACATGCATCTCATGTTATCTTTGATGTCAAAGGGCACTTTGATGGTAAGGACTAGTACTTGCATGTTACAGTTTATGTCACTAAATGTTCAGCGCAAAGTGTCTGATGCCAACACACAGCAGTCTGAACTAACCCAGTCTTCATCGGTTGCTCACACCTCGGAATCTGTGACGAGCCAAGCAGTGAGAAGCAGTGGGAAACACAGGAAGCTTTACTGTTTTGGAAGTTAGCACTTTCAGAGGGATGTCTCATGCAGCCTTGACTTGTCATAAATTCAACTTCTTCAGCTGCTCATATGTCACAAAGAACTAGAGTTATCAGTTAAGGCTGACAAAGAAAATGCCATCTTAACCCCAACACATAAAAACAGATCTACAAATAGCAAGCTATGAACAAATACATCTGGGCAGACCACATGCCATGAACGTGATTAAATCCGAGGGGCTCCATCCTAACCACCCCCAAAGACCTACCCATCAGGCTTCCCAAGGTCAGCTTACAACAGAAACATCACAGCTAAGATGCTTGAACCCCCTAGCTTCAGTTCCAAAAGCTTCTTCTAAGGTTATACCCACACTGCCTAGCTTTCGGGACCTGATTGCGGTGGGAAGAGTTTACAGCACAGAATTCTGTGTGAAAGAGAAACACAGCAAGCCCTGGGAAGCTCTCCTCAAGGGTTTCCGCTGGGCAGGCCTCCACGGAGGGAGACGCAGATAAAGAGAAACAGGGAACAGTGCAACCAACACCCCTACCTTATAACTCTGCCCTTTCAAGTCTAATGAACTGCCACTTCTTTCCCACCTCCCACTTTGGCATACAGGAAGTAGTACTTATAGGCCAAATAATTCTAGAGCTAATTAGTTTATACTTAGGCACTCTCTAAAATAAACATTCTAGAATACTGCGGCCAAACTAGATCCTTCCCAAGGCAGCTGGTGATATAAAAGCAATCCTGCGCCCTGGCTGGTTTGGCTCAGTGGTTAGAACGTCGGCCTGCGGTCCAGACCTGGGTTCGGTTTCTCTCTCTCTCTCTCTCTCTTCCTTTCTCTCCCTCCCACTCTATCTGAACAAAAAATGGAAAAATGTCCACAGGTGAGGATAAAAAAAAAAAGCAATCCTGCCTCTCTCTGAAATCATAAATACTCTCAGCTTTTAGAATAGAGTTAAATAGAAAGTTTTATTGATATCATTACCTTTCAATGACACCATCATTAAACCAAGATTCAGAGTGCCTAGCACACAGATTTTTTATTGCCTGAAAAAAAACCTGAACAATTATTTCTTGAATCAGAGGAACTTAAAAAACTGAAAACCAACTTCTAAAGTATAATTAATAACATGATAGTTTATACAAACAATATTCATTTAGCTATATCTGTTTTCATATCTATTGCAACAGAAAAGGATACAATGATATTCCAAGGACCAAGTCTCAACCAATTTGGCCAAAACCCTTTATATAGAGCAAAAAATCCTTCATTCTTCCATGTCTGTTGTAAGAGGAGAAAAAAGTTAACTTCCAACTTTCCAATTATGTCAAATGCATTAATAGTATCCAGACTGAACTAATTTATTTTTCTTAAAAATAAAATCCTGTTTGGAAGGACCATCTAAGAAATCATTGCCCTCTGCCTCTTTTTGGTTTTTAAAGACTTCTGCGTAAGAGACGACTAAGGTTCCATGCCAAACCATCCCACAACCAAAGCATGCTAAAAGAAGTTGAATAAGAAATGAGATTTCATTCCAACCAGAGTCTTTTGCCTCTTTTCCATTTGGGCCCACAAACAACTCAGTCATAAAGAAACAAAGCAGCCCTGGCAGGTTTGGCTCAGCAGTTAGAGCGTTGGCCCGTGGACCAGAGTCACAGGTTTGATTCCGGTCAAGGGCACGTACCTCGGTTGCAATTCAGTCTCCAGCCCTGGTCAGGGTCTTTCAGGAGACAACCAATCGATGTTTCTGTTTCTCTTTCTCTCCCCCTCCCTCCCTCCCACTCTGAATATAAATGGAAAAATATCCTCGGGCAAGGATTTAAAAAAAAAAAAGCCCTGGCCGGTTTGGCTCGCCTGCAATCCAGAGAGACCCAGGTTCAGTTCCCACTAAGGGTGCATAACTCGGTTGCAGTTTGTCCCCGGCTCTGCTTGGTCGTGTGGGTGGCAGCCACTCCATGTGTCCCTTTCACGTCGATGTTTCTCTCTCTCTCCTCTCTCCCTCCCACTCTATCTGAACAAAAAATGGAAAAATGTCCTCGGGTGAGGATAAAAAAAAAAAAGGAAACAAAGCAGCCTGGCTGGTGTGGCTCAGTGGATTGAGCATCATCCCATCAACTGAGGTCCCGGTTTGATTCCTGGTCAGGGCATATGTCCAGGTTGCAGGCTCGATCCCCAGTAGGGGGCGTGCGTGAGGCAGCTGATAGATGTCTCTCACATCAGTGTTTCTATCTCTCCCTCCCTTTCTCTTTCTCTAAAAAATCAATAATAAAAAAAAGAAACAAAGCTGGTGGCAAGATATAATTCAGAGCACCACTATTTCATGTTGTTGGGTAAATTATAAATAAGTGCCTTTGCTTCATTACAGCAATACTTAAGACTAGGAGGTGCCAGCATTATGCCGGAAAATGGAAACCGCAAAAGTGGCCTCTGATCTTTGTGGCTGCTAGCAATCTAGAAAGGGGACAGTAGCACACTTTTGTTTATTTAAACTAAAAATTACGGTAAGACTGATGTGTTCCTTTGTGAAATATCAGAATGAAGGATACTCATTCCATTTTGACCTAATAGGAAGGATATATATTTTGGAAGGAGACACAGTTCTACTACGATAACAGAAAATATGACTTTTTCACCCTTCACAGCAGAGCAAAGGTATAAAGAAAATGAGCTTTCATTTCTAAACATTCATCTTGACTTTGTATTTATAAAAGTTAGCCCGTGTGGCAAAAGCTCAGGGCTTTAGCGCATCGCTCGTCTCAAAGTTTAGTTACTTCTTAGTTTAAATAAATACATTATACATATTTGGGGGATAGTTTCATTGATTGAAGCAATCCACTAGAATGTTGACGATTAAGTAAAATAAATTATTCCAGGCACTATGCTGTTTTGTAGGCATTATCTCAATTATTTTTATAATAACCCTTTGATACAGGTTCTATTATTGTCCCTTTCACTTATGAGGAACTGAAGTATAGAGTCTGTACCTTGACCAAGTCACACAATTACAAGTGACAGATCCCACATCTATCTTGCTATAAACCCTGTATTTTTAAGTCATGATAAGAAATTCATGATAAGTGTGTCAGACGGAAGCTAATGAGCTATGAAAGAAATTCCCAACCCCACACAGACAGATTGACATTCATTCCCACCTGTAACAAGCAATCCAGGGTACCTGTGCACCCAGAGCCTCTGCCATCACGAAGGACTCTCTGATTCATCATACGTGTTCTCACAACATCCACAGGGTTGGAGGCCAGTGCCCCTGCCAGACCACAGGTGAAGCTTGAGCTATGAAGATACCATTGGAAATACAAAAAGGTCACCACCACCACTAACAAAGGCAAGAAACAGCCTCCTCCCAAACTATGTTAAAGTAACACTTAACAAGGTGAAATGTAACAAACGTGAGGACCATATGTAGGCAGCTGCACAAACGTCTTAAACACCAGCACTGATTACACTGGCTTATAAATTCCAACCTCAGCTAAGAATACCTTTGAGGTTCTGAAATGTCAAAGAATCCTGGAAACACGAAGGAACGTCCTCCAAGGATGATCTATTGCAATTATTTTCAACTTTTTTCATGTTATGGAACACATAAACTAATCACTAAAATTCTGTGGCACACCAAGAAATATATTTTTTGCGAGTCTGATAAAAAAAAAAAAAAGGAATAGCCCGGCTGGCGTGGCTCAGTGGTTGAGCATCAATCCATGTACCAGGAGGTCGCCAGTTCAATTCCCGGTCAGGGCACATGCCCAGGTTGTGGGCCCGATACCCAGTGTGGGGCATGTAGGAGGTGGCCAATTGATGTTCTCTCATCAATGTTTCTATCTCTCTCTCTCCCTCTCCCTTCCTCTCTCTCTAAAATCAATAAAGAAAAAAACACTTTCTTTTAAAACAAAAAAACTAATTAAAAAAAAAGAGTAATTTTGATTCATTCACCACTGGACGGCTATTGTGTTGGGTGCTGTGATTTTTTTGACAATCTAGGAGAAAAGAGGTCAGTGCCCCAGACTAAATAATCAGGTATTGATGTTTCAAAAATTCTGTGGCACATCAGCTGAAAACTGCTGATCTATTCACCTATAAGTAGACATCTGAGTAACTTTAGCCATATCATAACCATATTTTTCTTCAAGATCAGAGAAAAAGATTTCCTCGCTGTAGTGCCACCAGAGTCTTAGAGTCTACTAAACTTACAGTCTCGTAAGACTGCCACAGACCACACTTGGTGTCAAGGAACTCAGAGCAGCAGTTCTCAACTGCAGTACTACTGAGATTTTGAACCAGATAATTCTTTGTTGTGAACCAGATAACAGGTCTGTCCCTGGCCTCTACCTAGTAGATGCCAACAGTACTCACCCAGTCATAATTAAAGGAAGTCTCCAGAAATTGCCAAATGTCCCCAACAGGCTAGATTGCTCCTGAATGAATTAAACTATGATACATTCATACTAATCTGCAGTTATTAAACATAAATGAAGTCTATTTGTACTGCTATGGAAAAATATTTGGAATATTAAGCAAATAAGAAGCCCTGGCGAGGTAGCTCAGTCGGCTGGAGCGTCGTCCTAAACACCAAAACCAAAAGGTTGCAGATTTGATTCCCAGTCAGAGCACATACGTAGGTTGTGGGTTCAATCCCTAGTTGGAGCGAGAACGGGAGGCAACCAATCAATGTTCTCTCTCTCTCTCTCTAAAAAAAAAAAAAATCAATAAAATACAAAAACATATCCTCGGGCAAGGATTAAAAAGCAAGTAAAGAAGACAAATACTGCATAGTATCACTTATACATAGAATCTAAAAACAAATAAAAATTAGTCCAACTCACAGAAACAGAGAGTGGAAAAGTGGTTGCCTGTGGCTAGGGAGTGGGGAAAATAGGGAGATGGTAAAAGGGTACAAATTTTCAGTTATAAGATGAATAAGGTCTGAGGATCCAATGTATAACATGGTGAGTACAGCTGACAACACTGCAGTGTATAACTGAAATCTGCTAAGAGAGTACAGCTTAAATATTTTCACACACACAAACAAAAGGTAAATGTGAGGTCATAAATATGTTAATTAACTTGATGGGAAGACTCCTTCACAATGTATACATATTAAATCATCATGTACACTTCAACTATCTTTCAATTTTACTTTTCAATTATACCTCAAAAATGAAAAATAAAAATAATAATAAAAAGCAAGGAAAATGCAAAACATGATCTTTGTGTAATAAAGTACATGTAATATATTTTTTGTAGACATATTTGCATATGCATAGAAAACACCTGGAAGGTGCTTTTCAAACTATTAACAACTGCTACCTATGTAAAGGAATAAGGACTTTTTCTTTTTCCTGGTTCACTTTGGTGTCATTTTTCAAATATGAGAATATAGTATTTTTATACTAACCTTTAAAATTTCTATAAATTTGTAGCAAATTTCCACCCTAAACTCATGCATACCTAAAATATTAATTTAAAAATCCATAAACATACAGGAAGTGAGTGTACACAGTGTCTCCCATCAGGCCTGAGAGAATCAGGTGCTTCTTGGTGAGGTCGTAGACCGGCAGCTCCACGCCGACAACGATGGCGGCCCTCTGAGCAGTGAGGGACACTCCCTGAGCAAAAACATGGACAGCAGGGGTTCACATATCTCTACGCAGAACACGCCTTGCAAATGTGCAAAGGTTCTAATCCACAAACCATGGCCAATATTTATGTTTTTCAGCTGGTAGGTAGAAATATACAAACACCAGTAGAAAAGATCAGACTATAGAAAGTCAGAAGCTGCAAAGTTGAATTCTGATTTTGTCACTAACTGCACGACCTTGGCCAGGACAAGCAAACTCTCAGAGCCTCTCAGTTTCCTTGTACATACAGAGAGGTTATACTGGGTGACCTTTAGGATCTATTCTATGAACTGACAAGTTATTAGAATACTAAAAAAAAAAATTCAACATAACTGGGACCCCTTCTCCATAAGAATATTTTTAAAAAGCAAACAAACAGCCCTGGCCAGTTTGGCTCAGCGGTTAGAGCGTCAGCCTGCGGTCCGGAGAGACCCGGGTTCGGTTCCCGCTAAGGGTACGTACTTCGGTTGCAGTTTGTCCCCGGCCCTGGTTGGTCGTGCGGGTGGCAGCCACTCGATGTGTCCCTTCACGTCGATGTTTCTCGCTCTCTCTCCCTTCCTCTCTCTCCCTCCCACTCTATCTGTACAAAAAATGGAAAAATGTCCTCGGTTGAGGATTAAAAAAAAAAAAAAAAAGCAAACAAACAAAAAAGTGCTCAACCTTGCCCTGGCCGGTTTGGCTCGGTGGTTGGAGTGTTGGCCTGCGGACCAGAGAGTCCCGGGTTTGGTTCCTGGTAGGGGCATGTATCAAAAAAACAAAAAGTGCTCAACCTTCACAGAATTTTGTATATATGAATTATTCAAAAGGTACTTTCAAATCATCACATATTCTCCTTATTTCCATTTTACAGATAAAATATGTCACTCTTTTTCCCTTATTCCATTACCATTAGGATTAAATAAAATGATGGACATAGGAAAAATAAATTCAAAAAGGAAAAAAGGGGAAGAACTATGTCAGCTGGATCATTTTCAAGCTTACCTTCCACAGTCCTCTGGTTCCCTCTTGCTGGTAAATGTTAATGAAGTTGCCTATCATTCCTCCTTGGATGGTGCTGCTCTGTGCTTGCATCCGTATCTAGAGATTATTTAAAAGACCAACATGAGAAACAAACTAACACATTTCTGCCAACATACAGATCTCTGAAAAATCATGCAATCTGTTGTTTACTAACCATTAAAAGAAAAAAACTGTAATTATAAATATTACTATAATGCTAGTTTAAAATATCCTCTGTAGACTAAAATATATAGGCACTTTGAATTCAACAAAAAGCATATAATAGTCTAGAACATCTTGCATATAATAGGTCACTAAGTGTCAAAAGCAATTTAAATTTTTTTTAAATAGCCTGAAAAGGGAAGAAAATGCATTTCCCCCAGAGGTTACTAAGTAGCAAAGAGAGAACATGATGGTAATTTTGAAAATTTAACATAATTAGTAAGAATATTCTGTGTACTTGGCAACACTCAGCATGAACAAGCATATTTCTTTAATTAGTTACTCCAACTCACTATGATTTCCAACCAGCTGAACCAAAAGGAAAGCCAGCGAGTTTGCCATGGGACAGCCACATGACGCCTGTCATGCTCGGTTACACTTGAACTTACAAATGAACTTTACATCGGCCATAGTATTCACATGACCAAGATTCCAACATACAAATAATGTTTGAGGTAGCTCTCTGCATTTTTAAGAATGAAAAGATATTTCTCACTAAAAATGTATACCTTATTTTGGTTTAGGAAGCAAGTACATTACCTCTAACTTCTTAAAGGTAACTGTTACTGCCATGCTAACATGAAATTAAATCAAAATACATAAACCACCTTTCCATAGCTTTGATACACATTTAAGAGATTAATAGAGCCCTGGCTGGTGTGGGTCAGTGGTTAGAGGGATGGCCTGTGCACCAAAGGGTCTCGGGTTCCACTCCCGGTCAAGGGCATGTACCTGGGTTGCCCTTTGACCTGGTCGGGGTGTGCACAGGAGGCAACCAATAGATGTGTCTGTCTCACAATGATATTTTTCTCTCTCTTTCTCCCCTCACTCCCTCCCTCCCTCCCTTCCACTCTCTCTAAAAATCAATGGAAAAAATATCCTCGGGTGAGGATTTAAAAAAAGAGAGAGTAAAAGAAGTATGGGTATTTTTCTCCAGCAATCTTGCCCCACCATTGGGAACATTATGGTAAGAGTGCCTTCACACACTGTACCTTCCCCCACATGACTGTAGTGTACTCAGCATGGTGCCGTGTAAAGTTTTGATGTTTGTCAGAATCTCCTATCAGATCGAAGGCTCTCTCAGGACAGGGTCTTTGTCTTACACATTTTTAGATTCTAAATACCAAAAGCTGTCCAACTGGTATAAGATAGAAGCATAGTGAATTCTGGTTAGATAATATGAAAAATAAGGAGAGGAAGGGAGAAAGAGGAATATCTGAGAGGATTCAAAAAGTAACTGAAGACTAATTTTTATTTATTTATTTTTTAATTTTTATTTTATTAGTTTATTCCCTTGCCTTCTTCCAAAAAGGATTTAGGAAGGCTGTAATCCCTGGCATTGTCAACAAGGTCATTTAATATGTTATGCCTTGCAGGAGGCGGCCAATCGATGTTCTCTCTCATCAATGTTTCTATCTCTCTCTCCCTCTCCCTTTCTTTCTCTCAAAAATCTATAAAGGGGGAAAAATTTTTTTTAAAAAAAAGTAGTATGTTATGCCTAATTGTGATTAAGTAAATGTTTCCATTAGTATTTCCTATACATTAACATAACAATGTATTCAGAAATGGTCATTAATACGCAGACTTCTGTAAAACTGGAAGCCAATCTATGTTTTAATGAACCAATAAAACAAGGGAGATTTCCAATGAAAAATCCAAATGCATCTAAACCTAAATTTTTTTTCTGCTTAATCACCAAAAAACTCTTCTCTAAAATGGGCTCTACTTTTTTTTTTTAAATCCTCACCTGAGGATATTTTTCTATTTATCTTTAGATACAGTGGGAGGGAGGGAGAGACAGAAACATCGATGCTGAGACAAACCCATCGATTGGTTGCCTCCTACACCACCCTGACCGGGGCCAGGACGGAACCGAGACCAAACTGAAACCAAATGGAAACCAAGGTACACGCCCTTGACTGGAATCAAACCCGAGACTCATTGGTCCTCAGGCCGATGCTCTAACTGCTGAGTCACACCCAGCCAGGGCAAAATGCACTCTACTTTTGAGCCCATCTGTCTCAGTGGGAACGCCACCTAGTGGATATTTATGTTAGTCTTCACAACAGTTAAATTATAAACAGACCCCACACACACAGCATGTTATGTTCTCAATTTTCATGATCTGAACATTGTTCTCGGTAAGAAAATGTGGTCTGTGACTAGAAAATACAGGGAGAATTACTTACTTTCAAAACATCAGTTGGATTGGCAATGGCTGAGGATATAACTCCAGAGAGAATTCCACAGACCACATTAATCAGAAGAGTTTCATCTGTAAACAAAGACAGTATTTGACTTTTCATATATACAGAGCTCTTCGCGTGAATAACTCAAATACAGGCATAACTCATTTACATACCACTTGTTCCTCTTAAGTGGCGGTTCTCAACCTGTGGGTTGCGACCCCTTTGGGGGTCAAACAACACTTTCACAGAGGTCGCCTAAGACCATGGGAAAACACACATTTCCGATGGTCTCAGGAACCGAGACACCGCTCCTCTATCCGTCTCCAGGCGGGTCCGCCCACGTGCAGATACGCCCACATACAACATGAGGAACCGTATTAAAGGGTTGCGGCATTAGGAAGGTTGAGAACCACTGCTAAGAGAATAAAGAAATGTATGCCTTTGTGAATCAAGTCATTTCAAAGGGATTAGGAATTTTGCTGGCTACAGGGATTTTACTTAGCAAACTTCCCTTTCCTGCCATCTGAAAAGGAATGAGAATTATCACGCAAAGTGAGTAACCGTCTACCACTTCAGTTTTGTGTGTAAATACAGACCATTGTAGTAATTAAGATGAGGTATGTTTGGTAGGAGAATAAAAAAGACATAGTCCTATGAGAAGGCGGAGACCAGGTTTTAAAGCACATCTATATTTAATAGGAAGCATCCTGAAGCACTTTCAAAGCGTCTTAGCTCCTGCTCGCCACTCTCACACAGCAGTTAGTTGGTGCTTGCCTCTTTGTAAAAACAGAGAAGGTTCTATGGATTAAAGCAAAGTCACAGAGCCAACCAACAATAGAGTATTAGAACTTGGTTCTTAGTACTGAGAAATGTATTCACTGCTTTTCTGAAATATAGGTTATAATTCCTATGATTTTAGAAAATTTTAAGTTGGCTACAACTGTAACAACATGTCCTCTAGTCTAGGCATTCTAGAGATGAGGATAACTAATCAAAATGTTTGCTCCTCTTCACTGTTACTCCCCTAAATCCAGCTGATAACTGACTTGGTATAAGGACAATTCATTTAGACTTTACACCTTGAGTTCTCAGCAGCAGTCAAGTCACAAGATAAAGAAAACCTGATACAAAACCACAAAACTTGAATAAAAAGACAACCCCCCCTCCTGTCTACAAGTGAAAAAAAGATTCCCCACTGACCTTCTGGGCGTTCCACAAACAATCGCTTCAAGCTCTGGTAAGTGCCTATCTTGATGGTGCCATAGGAAGCCTGGCGTAACATCGCAGGGGCAATCCTGTCAAACCAGTGTACAAAGGGACAAAAAAATTCTAAAAATCACCTGCAATCCTCTAGAAGACCCATAGTCAGAAATACAGTCACCCATTTGCCTTCCACAAACTACACTAAAACAGATGTCTTAAAATTAAAACTCCAACAAAAAACATATTATTTTAAAAATATACAGGTATAACCCAAAAAGGATATAACTACTTAAACAAATAATTAGTTCACTAAGTGAAAGCTCAGCCCTCATTTATTCTCAATGAAACTGTAAGTGAACATGTGGTTCTATTTGCCCATTCATGTTAAAATGAAAGGCTTTAGCCCTGGCCGCTTTAGCTCAACGTTCAGAGCATCTTAGAGCCTCGGCCTGTGCACCAAAGAGTCAAAGGTTTGATTCTGGTCAAGGGCATGTACATCGTACCTTGGTCGCCGTTCGATCCCTGGCCCTGGTCGGGTTCGTGCAGGAAGCAATCAGTCAATGTGTCTCTCTCACACTGATGTTTATTTGTTTGTTTGTTTCTCTCTTTCTCCCTCCCCTCCCCCTCTAGCTGAAGATAAATGGAAAAATATCCCCGGGTGAGGACTTAAAAAAAAATGAACGGCTTTCTTTTCTCCATATGAAGCACACCATGAAATCTGGCCCCTGGAAGCGGCACCCACTCGCGCGCTCTGGAGCTCACCTCCCACCTCCTTGGGGGTCCTGTTTCAGTTATTTCCTCTCCCTCTCGTTTCCCTCCCTGACCCCAGAACCACCTGGTGGCATTTGCACTCCCAGCTCTCTGTTTGCATTTCCACTTCCTTCTCGAATGCAATCTGGCTTACCTCCACCTTCTCCATCAAAACAGGTAGCCAAATGACATCTGTGTTGCTAAATTAAGTAATGCTTTTCAAATGGCATCTTATATAACATCTCGCAGTATTTGTTACTGTCCACCCTTTGTCTTCCTGGCAGCTGTCTCCTCCCTGCCACACAACACTGCCCTCTCCCATTTCTTTTCTTTCATCTATAGCATCCTACCTGCCCTCTGGGTTTCCCAGAATCTGTCCTATGCTTTCATTTCTCCTTGCTCCACACAATGCCTGGGTGAGCTCACCTATTCCCATGGCTTTAAATGACAATTCTTCAATTCATGTTTCCAACACTGATCCAAAGATACATTTCTAACTCCGTCCTAATTTCTCAATTCACATATATGACACCTACCTCCAGATCAAGTGACCCACACCGAACTAATTATCTTCCCTGTCTAAACAATCACCTCTCCTCTTCTGTTTCCTAGAAACAGAAGGAAACTCCCATGTAGACAATAGCCAAAACCAGAAATCAAGACATTAGCTGTTGTCTCCTCCTTCCCCACAAACCCCCTCATATATTAGGTCAAATAATATGTCAATCCTATGACATAACTAGCTTTCTAGACTGTCTTTTTTTCTCCATCCCCCAGCCAACCCCCAGGTCAGATCCTTGTCTCTGCTTCTGACAGGACGGCCTGCTTCCAGTGTTACCAGTCTCTAATTCTTCCCCCGTGGCAGGCAGGCATCTTTTTATAACGGAACCTAACCATGGCAGCCCCTCTACTCAAAGCCCTTCAGTGGCTCCTGTCTGCCACAGGTAGAGCAAACTCAAGTTGCAGGTGCTGGATAGAAGCTGTAGTGAGTCAAGTGGGCTGGACCTAACTGCACATACACATACATACACTATGTGAGTGGCAGAGGTTTTAGAGAAACAGAGAAAACACTGTTCACTATTATCAGAAGTGAATGAACGTGGGCCCAGATGTTGTTTTCCCTTGAGAAGATGGAATCTTAGGTTTTTATGTATAGTTTCTCATATTTAAAGTACTGGCTCAGCCCTGGCCGGTTTGGCTCAGCAGTTACAGCGTCCGCCTGCGGTCTGGAGAGACCCGGGTTCAGTTCCCGCTAAGGGCGCGTACCTCGGTTGCAGTTTGTCCCCGGCCCTGGTTGGTCGTGCGGGTGGCAGCCACTCGATGTGTCCCTTTCACATCGATGTTTCCCTCTCTCTCTCTTCCTCTCTCTCCCTCCCTCTCTGTCTGTACAAAAAATGGAAAAATGTCCTCGGATGAGGATAAAAAATAAATAAATAAATAAAAAATAAAGTACTGGCTCAATCAAAAAGCAAAATCCTCCAGAGGCTGGTAGGTCAGAGGGCTGAGGGGTACCAGTTTCGGATCTGTGGTATCTGGGGCAAAAGCAAGGTGCTCAGCACGACCTGAGGGGGTCCAGGTCCTAACACCTTATTAGCACCAACTCCACCTCTTGCTATTCACCATCTCCTACATAACACCCATGCTGAATTACTTGCAGTTTCTAGCTGTACTCTGCTCTCCTGCACATACTTTTGGAGCAGCATAGTTTCTCTCTAACTTCACCCAGCTAACTCTTCTTAATCCTTCAAGATACGAGCCGGTTTCTCCTGAATAGAGCAACTTTCCTGAAAACCCATTTCCTCCCTTATCCCCAGTCTGGGACTGATACCTCTGCCAGTCTCTAGGACTTACCAGACTCCACTGTAATCCCAGGAAGTCGTCTGCAGCCCCAGTGAACAATAGTTCCTTCAGGACTAGGTGCTGCTGCTGGTCCCTCTTTGTCCTCCCAGATCCATTCTCACCCTTCTCCGTTCTGCTCCGTGCCCTGAGAGGCTGGTGCCTACGGACTCCATCACCCGGTCGCCACTGCCGGCTGCCTTTCCGGTGGATTCAGCCAGCAGATGAGGGGACGGAGGGAGGAGGAAGTAGAGGTACTTCTTCCTCAACCTGGGCACTACCAAAGCATCCCTTGACAGCTACTCTTTGTTCCTTCAAGGCTCCATCTTTGGGTTGGTAACAATTCCTCACTTTGCTAGTTTTTAGGTATCTCAATATCCTTCATTTGTTCTCTTGACCCTTAAGTAGTCCCTTCATTAAACTCTCTTCATTTAAACCACCCGGATGAATGATGTGTCTCACAGGGATTCTGGATGACATAGGACCCTGTTCTACTTACTTTCCTATCTAGTGCCTACGGCACACTGTTTATTAAATATTGAATAAAAGAAAAGTAGTTCAGTGCAACTCTTACCCATGGAGAATACTACATCATTTTCATAATGACAAAAACTTTGGTAATTCAAAACAGCCAGGGGAAAGGGCTATTTTCAGAGTTAAACACTAAATTTACAGGATGTTTTTTTGTTTTGTTTTGTTTTGTTTTTTATCCTCACCCAAGGACATTGTTCCATTTATTGTTCAGATAGGGCAGGAGGGAGAGAGAGGAAGAGAGAGAGAGAGAAACATCGATGTGAAAGGGACACATCGAGTGGCTGCCACCCGCACAACCAACCAGGTCCGGGGACAAACTGCAGCCGAGGTACATGCCCTTAGCGGGAACCGAACCCGGGTCTCTCTGTACCGCAGGCCGACGCTCCAACCGCTGAGCCAAACCGACCAAGGCAGGATGTTTTTTTTAAAACAAGTGTAATTTTGACCTAGCCAGTATGGCTCAGTGGACTGAGTGTCATTCCATGGACTGAGAGGTCCCAGTTCAATTCCTGATCAGGGCACATGCCTGGGTTGTGGGCTTGATCCCCAGTGAGGAGCACACAGGAGGCGGCCGATCAATGTGTGTATCTCATATCAGTGTTTCTATCTCTCTCTTTCCCTTCCTCTCTCTCTATAAAATCAATTAAAAAAATATATTTTTAGCCCTGGCCGGTTTGGCTCAGTGGTTAGAGCATCGGCCTGCGGTCCGGAGAGACCCGGGTTCGGTTCCCGCTAAGGGCACGTACTTCGGTTGCAGTTTGTCCCCGGCTCTGGTTGGTAGTGTGGATGGCAGCCACTCGATGTGTCCCTTCACGTCAATGTTTCTCTCTCTCTCTCCCTTCCTCTCTCTCCCTCCCACTCTATCTGTACAAAAAATGGAAAAATATCCTCGGGTGAGGAAAAAAATATATATATATTTTTAAAAGTATAATTTTATATTATTGTCTGTATTTGAATATAATAAAAACATAGTTTCACCACAACATTCACTATGTAAAATACATATAAATACAATAAAGTTGACATTAAAAATAAAAAATCTGCCTGGCCAGTGTGGCTCAATGGCTGAGCGTCGACCCATGCACCAAGAGGTTTCCAGTTTGATTCCTGGTCAGACATGCCCAGGTTGTAGGTCAAATCCCTGTGGGGGGCATGCAGGAGGCGGCTGATCAATGTTCTCTCTCATCGATATTTCTCTCTCCCTTCCTCTGTAATATCAATAAATAAATAAATTTTTTTAATGAAAAATTTACCATGTTTCTTGTTCTTTTTCATACACCTCAAACTTTACTTTTTCTCTATGAAGTCTTAGTCTGATAGACTTCCATTTGAAAGTTCAACAGCAGCCCTGGCCGATTTGGCTCAACGTTTAGAGCGTCAGCCTGCGGTCCAGAGAGACCCAGGTTCAGTTCCCGCTAAGGGCACGTACCTTGGTTGTAGTTTGTCCCGGACCCTTGTTGGGTCATGCGGGTGGCAGCCACTCGATGTGTCCCTCTCACGTCGATGTTTCTCTCTCTCTCCCTCCCACTCTATCTGAACAAGATATTGAAAAAAAAAAAAAGTCCTCGGGTGAGGATTAAAAGAAGAAAGTTCAACAGTAAAATATAAACTTACAAAGGTCACTCACCCCGAGTACAATGCTTTTAGGCCTTCTTCTCGGCCTATCCTCACTAACGCATGTAACATTCCTCGATACCGAATTTCTTTAAAGTTTGCATCATTTGTCTGGCCTTGAATCTGGAGCCGTGTCTTGGTCAAATCAATTGGAAATGTACCTTAGAATTTTAAAGAAAGAAATATTTTCACTTAAAGAAATTCTACTAAGTAAAGGATAGAGAGTGACATATTACTGAGGAGAGACAGATACTTTACAATCTTTTTTCTATTAAAAAATGGTAACCAGCCCTGGCCAGTTTGGCTCAGCAATTAGAGCGTCGACCTGCAGACCAAAAAGTCTCAGGTTCTATTCCTGGTCATGGGCATGTACCTGGGTTGCAGGTTCGATCCCCAACCCCAGTCAGGGTCGCACAGGAGGCAACCAATCAATGTGTATTTCTCACATTGATGTCTCTCTCTCTCTCTCTCTCTCTCCCCCCTCCTCCCTCTCTTCTACTCTAAAAAATAAAGTAAAAAACAAAACAAAAAATCCTCGGGTGATGATCAGCAACAACAAAAAAGGAACCAAAAGAGTTTTTTAAAAGGCATAAATAAAGTTTCCTTTCTTTATAGTTTAATTTATGTTCCATCTTATTCTACATAAGATTTGAGGAAACTGCACTGCTGTAAAAAAGTAGATACATGGAATGATTTAGGAAACCTAAAATATAACTTATTTTTGCCTGGCTGGGTGGCTTAGTTGGTTAAGCATCATCCCGTACACCAAAAAAAGTTGTGGGTACAGCCCCTAGTCGGGGCACGTATGGGAGGCAACTGATAAATGTCTCCTTCTTTCTCCCCTATATATATATATATATATATATAGAGAGAGAGAGAGAGAGAGAGAGAGATATCTCCATCCTCAGGTGAAGATTAAAATAAAAAATAAAAAAATTGGGTTCATTTTCAAATTCTATAGTCTGAAAGTAATTCTGTTAAAGTAAAAAGTTTAAAAAGGGCCCTGGCCGGTTTGGCTCAGCGGTTAGAGCGTTGGCCTGCGGTCCGGAGAGACCCGGGTTCGGTTCCCGCTAAGGGCATGTACCTCGGTTGCAGTTTGTCCCCGGCCCTGGTTGGTCGTGCGGGTGGCAGCCACTCGATGTGTCCCTTTCACGTCGATGTTTCCCTCTCTCTCTCTCCCTCCCACTCTATCTGTACAAAAAATGGAAAAATGTCCTCGGGTGAGGATAAAAAAAAAAAAAAGGTTAAAAAGGGCCTAACAGACAGTCCACTCAAATATGTGAAATTCATACTCAGTAAATGTGCTTTAGTGAATCTATGGGAGGAGAGCCCACCCACACAAGAACATGGATGGGTGGTTAATCCGCCTCAACCCCTGGGCACCAGTCCTCGCTGGCCCCTGGGGGGCAGCCTTCATCCCAGGACAGCAGTGACTGAGCCCTGGAAGCAAATGAAGTACCCAGCACAGAACTGGGCACTCAGCAGCCATTCAATCAATATTTGTTAAATGAATGATTCCAGGGAATAAACAAAGGAATAAACAGCCTGATGTGGACCTCAACTAATGGGAAGAAGTCATTAATAGGATATGGATCCTGTGCGTAATCAGAAAGCGACAGCATAGCGACAGTCAATCGAATCTGGCTCAGGGAAGAACTTGCAGCTCCTCAAACTTCTTAACGGTCAAATGTGGTAAGGGTGAGGGCAAAGCAGGGGAACAGACAAGGAAAATAAGGACTGATGTAGTTCAAAAATAATTCAGAAAACTTCTGTTTGATCAAGAGGTTCAACTTTCTCCCCACTAAACTTTGAACTCTAAACTGCCAATAAGTAGCCAAAAATGGCTATTTTTGTTTAAAAAGGCATACCAAAAGCAGAAAATTTTGTATTCTGAGATTAATGTTTCATAATGTCACATTCTAAGCTTGAACTATATTCACATCAAACACCAAGTGTACAGTAGGTGACTTGACCTGACTCCAGTACCCACTCCTTACCGCATTCAGCTGTGATGGAGGCCAGCCCTCCGTACACAAAGGGCTGCCAGTTGAGTGCTGACATTCTCGCTCCTGTCCTTCTCCTTCGATTCACAGAAACAGCCTCCAACAGGGTTCTTCCTGGGAACAAAAGAAAGACGTGTCAAAGTTGGAACTTCTCACACAGGTATCTTTAAACTTGTGTTTCATTTGGAGAGTGCTATCATATGCTATCAATGAAACTCCCCTGCAGAATCTGAGACAGGAACCCTGCCTCAATGAAGCAACGCATCCCTATCTACTTAACCCCAAATCAGCAACTACTATTCTCACTTTATCAGTTGCCTAACTCTCATTCAAGCCTTAAGAAAGGAATCCAATATACTGATATCTTGATAGGTGTATATGTATTCAGTATAGTACAACAGAGGCTATTTTCTGGAGAGGCTATTTTCTGTTCTTCAGTATCTGTTATTTGTCACTGTCTTGGTGAGTCCCTCCTGGGAGGCACTGAAGTCCCTCGCTGCAGTCCAGTGTCACAAGGTAAAATACACTTCTAGTTTACACTCTATAAATGTTAGCTCGCTTTTCTTCTCCCTATTATGTAATAGCTGGGACGCAGCTTTGTGTGAAGGAAAGAGGCAGACTCTGGGGTTAGAGCCATACCACTTCCTTTCAAGGGAAGTTCCTGTTCACATCTGGTTTTTCTTCATTAACAACAACATTATCATCATCATCCATCACAGCAGCCAACAAAATCAATTAGGGGTAGAGCCCATATTTTTCTTCACGAAGCTAAATAAAATACCTAGCTTTCAGAGGCCTACTATAAATCACTATTGACAAGACTATCAGTTCTCTGGACCACAGGCCAACGCTCTAACCGCTGAGCAAAACCAGCCAGGGCAAGATTGTCAGTTCTCAACAAAGTCAAGCAGCTTGCTTAAACTAAGAGAAAACAAGGAACCCAAAGGGGACCCTAAGTAGGTCTACCAATAGCTATTCCTCATTTATGGACATTAAGCATATTCTGAATGATTAAGAGTGAGGCAGAAGGCCCTGGGCATAGAACTAGAAAATCATCATATGCTTTATGTATTTCAGTACCAAGAACATGCCCTGTCCTTGAAAATTCATCTTTCTGTTATCCTTGAAAACATTTAATAATATCTGTACTTAATTCTTAGCCTTAATAAATTCATAACTAATATAATGATTTACACTGTAAGTTATAGACTGTCCAATAATTCATTTACTGTCCAGTAGTACCTTCCTCAACCCACTGTTGGATTTTGCTGAATCCAAGTTAAAAAACAAAATGATAACTACAGGCCCTGGCCAGGTAGCACAGTTGGCTGTGGGATCGATCCTGGGTCAAGGCACATGCAAGAATCAACCAATGAATGTACAAATAAGTGAGAAAACAAATCGATGTTTCTCTCTCTCTCTCAAAAATCAGCTAAAAATTATAACTACATGACAATGACACATGGAAGTGTTCAATATAAACGATTTCAGTGGATACCCCCAACAAGTTTGGAATGGGAGGAACGAAAAACAGACCAGGAAGCCAAGTCTCAGCTGATGGAGACAGAGCTGGGCTTCCATCCCCAAGCATTCTGATTCGAAGTGCAGGGTTCTTTCTGCTGCCACAGGAGGCTGTGCACGATCATAAAGGAGTGATAGCGTTTTAATTAAGGAGAAAATATTATTAAGTAGCTTCAAAAGATACTACTGATAAGGTGCATCTTATAAACAATACAAATGTGCTTAATTTAAGAAAAAAGCCTCAAGAGAGAATACAATATTCAGAAGGTAATCAATCTAAACAGGGATACAACAAAGATAGTATTCATATGATTCTTTTTTTCAGGGTACTTTTACTGAGATGAAAGTCACATACTATAAAATAAACCATTTAAGCAAGCACTTCAGTAGCACTTAACTACATTCACAATGTTGTGTAAGCACTACCTTTATCTAGTTCCAAAATATTTCATCACCCATAAGAAAACTGTTAAGCACCTGCTTCCCATTACCCCCTTTCCCTGGCCTCCATATGATTATTTTTGGCTGTGATCTGCATATGCATCTAGCATCTATGTGGAACAGAAAGGACTCCTTCTTAGTGGTTTCTAATCTGGCTGAGGAACATCTTAAAAATACGGACACCAGGTCCCCATCTACAGAATAAGGATCTCAGGGACATCCCAAGCATCTGTGTTGTTACTGAAAATCAGTAGGTTAAATATATTATGGCAACTCACACCTTGGAATACTTATCACTTAAAATCCTATTTTAAGTACTTAATTCTCAAAGATGACAATACAGTTCATCCTTTTTATTCATCTTGTTAAGTAGTGATTTTTTTCTACAGTGAATATATTATGTGTGTCTATATATTCATTTATATGGACATACACACACACACACAAAAGATATCCTCTAAAATAACAGCAAAAATTTATGGGAAATGAAAGTATACTACTAATTTTAAAACAAAATATTTTTTAAAGACACCGTCATATGGCTTCATGTCATCTCAGTGATTAACTTCCTGGTTTCATGCCACTATTTTTGTTTGTTTATTTTGCTAGTTTAGTTTTAATGCAATTTGGATGCTTTTGCTTCTGTTGGTTTTGATATTAAGTTTTTAGTTAGATGACAACCCAGAGGTTCTGGATTATACTCATTTGTAAATGTTCAACTAGAGCTCAAAATTGTTGTGGAATTGCCTCCCGATGGTTTTAAGTCACGTGGGATGGTAGACCCCCCTAGTTCCTATTCTGATGTTCTATCACAGTAAATGCATCTTCCACAAATGAGTGTCCACTCCTGCATTCCGAGTTAAACTCTAAGAAAATACTTTCTGTTCAATTACAATTTTAAAAAATTAGCTAGGAAGAGAGGGAAAAAGAACTTTTGGGGTTCTTCACTTTTCCTTTCCAAAAGCTAAGACTAGATCCCTGAACAGTTAAGACTACTGTGCCTCATGCCTGGGTTGCGGGCTCCATCCCAAGTAGAGGCGTGCGGGAGGCAGCTAATCAATGTTTCTCTCTCCCTCTCCTTTCCTCTTTAAAAATCAATTTAAAAAACATATTAAAAATAAAAAATAAAACTACTGTGCCTTCCCAAGTTAATGTTTAAGTCCAAGAATAATTTGGCTTAAATAACAACCAGAGAACATCAGTAGTTGGTCAAGCATCCAAACAAGAAAAGGTTCTAGCAAAGACTGGAATGTCCAGTAAGCTATACTGGCCACAGCCAGTTGAGACAGGGCTTGTTATCTCAGACTGAAATCTCTGTTCGGTAAACTAAGCCATTTCTTTGTTTTTTGAGCTCTTTGGAAGGGTTCTCTGTCACACACATCCCTTAACTTCCTAGCACAATTTTCGGGGACAATCCCAACTTTAATGAAGTATCAAGACTGACAGGCTAACAAAGTCAGGGAGACTGATGTGTCCCTAGCAATAACTAGTGTTTAGGCAACACCTCCGCCTGAGATTCAGGGAAGGGATTACAACTTGGTAAAAATTCCAGGGTCAGGTACAGCAGGGGCTGTCGATCAATTCCCACCCTGCACTTCTCTTTAGGCAGAACCACAGCCTGATTGTAACTCTCAGAGGCCCCTTCTCTTTGCTGCCTTCTGAACACAATACTAACAACAACAGATGTCACTGAATATCTGATACGTTAGGCATTGCTGTACGTTTTCCACTTAAAGAATTTTATTTAATCATCACAACTCCATGAAACAGGTATAATTATCCACATTTCACAAATGAAATACAGCTTCAGAGAGGAAAAATGCCTTTACCTAGTCACACAACTACCAAGTACTCCAACTAAGGTCTCCGAAAGAACGAATGTACTACATGTACCACAAAGCCAAACACCATTTTCCAAAGGCTGTTAAAAAATATTGCCCAACTGGTATGGCTCAGTGGATTGAGCATCGTCCCATGGACTGAGAGGTCCCACCGGGTTTGATCCCCCCAGTCAGGGCATATGTCCTGGTAGGGGGCTCAATCCCCAGTAGGGGGCGCGCAGGAGGCAGCCGATTGATTTTTCTCATCAATGTTTCCGTCTCTCCCTTCCATCCTCTAAAAAAAATCAATAAAAATATATATTTTTTAAAAGTATATATATATATAGGGCGGTGGGAGGGTAGAAATTCTGAACATTCAGAATAAATGTAAGATTTTCTTGCTAGAGAAATACAAAACTGTTTGTATGTTTGTTTGTTTAAGTGTCTCCTGAGTGCAAACGTGTGTACAAATCATGAATTCCAAAAGAGTCTCCCTACACTTAGGAAATATGCTGTTACATATCCTCTCAACTCTATTTTCTCTTACTTAGCACTTATTTTCTCCTTACCATATTTGTACAGCTGCAAAGAGAGGTAATTAAATACAGTAATCACTACTGGAACTTCTGAAAGCTTTCCAAGTTTCTCTAACATATTTACTTACTTGTGTTCAGTATGCAGTCCTAAACTGTAATCTATCTCTAAATTTCAGTGTGTTCATAAACCTTTTTTCCACACAGTACTGCCTTCTATGAACCTATTTCCCTTTTTTTTTAAGGGTCCAGGAAGAAAAATAAGCTCATCACAGACTTATAAATGTGAGATTTAAAAGGAATCTTAGAAATTATATCTCATTTCGCATATATTAACTGATTCCATAATCACAAAACTTGCAGTCACAAAGCCAAGACCAAAATTCATGCCTTTCAACTTTTCTCACTACTTGAGCGGAATGAATCTAGGTATGCTGGCAGTCCCGAAACCGTTTTGCTCTTCTTGCGCAGGAACAATAATGCTGATCATTGCAACTGATCTACATGAAATTACACCTAGAAACACGCTAAAATCCAGAGCTACCTTAACTTCCCGAGCACATTAATTCAACCCGTCCCTGCGAACCTGAGCCAACCTGGCGGGTTCCCGGGGTGATTCAAAGCACAGCGTGCCCTGTCCTGGAGCAGAAGCTGGCCGGCGCCCTGGCTGCACTCTGAATGAGGCGCGAGTGGGGGGATGCAGAGGCAGGCGCAACACGCCGCGGGGGCAAGAGGTGCCAGACCGGCCTCACGCCAGGACCAGTGACGCTGGAAGAGAAGTCGCCCCTCACCGCCAAGTGAGCAGGGAAGCAGCGGCCACTCCAGAGGAACCCGCCCTGGGCCCTGCACGCGACCCGCAGGGCAGAGACTGCGCCGGGTCTCTCCGAACGCAGCCCCGCTCTCCGGGACCGCAGTCCCAATCACGGCCCGGCCCGGCCCCGGCCGTCCGAGGGGCCGCACTGACTGTGCCCGGCGCCGCGGGGAAGGGGGACGGGCCGGAGGAGGGGCGACCTGGAGCACGCGCTGAGCGGCCGGGAACTTACCGAGCGGCCGCGGCCCAGCACCTCACCTACCCAGGGCCTCGCCAGGCGGCAGGAGCAGCACTGCCCGGAAGCTGGAGGAAAGGTTGCTGGGCGGGGGAGGGGCGGACCAGAAGGCCGCGCGCAGCCCCGCCCCGGCCCCGCCCGCAGCCTCGGCTCCCATTGGCCTTCCTCCACCCTGTCCCGCCCGGCCACGCCCACGGGAGCCCGCCCCTGGCTGGCGGCCAAGGAGTGGGGAATCCTGCAGCGGGCTCCCCACGAGCAGGAGTGGCAGCCACACCGGACGCGGGGCGCCTCCTGAGGCCTCGTGCTCTCCTTGCGGAGAAACAGGGCCTGTGCGGAGAGCCACGGAAAAGGGGCCTTCTCAGGGAGTGATTCTTTCTGTCCACTGAACCTCACCAGTAGAAAGGAGTCAACTTGAGCCCTGGCCTGTGTGGCCGTGGGGTGGGGGTCGGCCGGGGCCCCGAAAGGTTGCTGGTTCCATTCCCTGTGAGGGGCAGCTGCCTGGTAGGCTCCATTCCCAGTAGGGGCTGCAGGAGGCAGCCTATTGATTTGCGTTCTCACATCATGTTTCTCTCTTTCTAAATATCCATCAACTATTATTTAAAACAAACAAGAAAACTTTATTTTTTTTAAAAAAGTAGTAAACTTGCAATTTTTAAAATTTTTCTATTACAACTGACGTTTGATGTTATATTATTTTCAGGTGTACAGCATAGTGGTTAGACATTTATAAAACTTATGAAGTGATTCCCCCATAAGTCTAGTACCCACGTGGCACTGTGCAGTTATTACAATATTGTTGACTATATTCCCTGTGCTGTACTTTACGTCCACATGACCATTTTGTGACTACCAATGTGTACTAGTTAATCTCTTCACCTTTTTCACCATCTCCCCCAACTCCCTCCCATTTGGCAAATGTCAGTTTGTTCTCTGTGTCTATGAATTTGTTTGTTTGTTCCTTTCTTTTGTTTTTTAGATTCCACGTGTAAGTGAAATCATATTGTATTTGTCTTTCTGTCTGACTTATTCACTTAGCATAATACCATCCAGGTTCACCCCATGTTGTTGGGAATGATAAGATTTTGTTCATTTTTATGGCCCAGTGACATTCCATTGTACCACTTATTTTTTATCTATTCATCTATTGCTGGGCACTTAGGTCACCTTCATATTTTGGCTATTGTAAATAATGCTGCAATGAATATAGGGGTGCATGTAGTCTTTCAAATTAGTTTTTTTCCTTCTTCAGATAAATACCTAGAAGTGGGATTGCTGACTCACAAGGTGAT